GTGTATATATATTCAGGAAACAAAAGTTCGAACTATAAGGGAACTCAAGTTGTGAGGAAATATAGAGAACACTTATTATCCGAGTTGTCGAAAATAACGAAACAAAAATCGGACAACAAAGTTTCCAAGAAAGTGTAGTAAAGAAATGAATTTCAAAGATTGTTGGAGGACCTTTAGAAACAATAAAAACACCCTGATATATTTATGATAGATCAGAGTGAAGGCAACGAGGTGATTAACCAAACCAAAGAGTAAACTTAGACTCAAGATCAGTGACAGTCAGAAAAGGCTTAAATGATACGTTTGACGTTTTATGAGAATAGGTTTTCATAATCATGATATATTACTGGTTATTATATTGATGGTTATTGGGATGAATGGTGATTGTTCTATATTCTGATGACTTCTGATTGGGAGTTATTGGGGTGATTGGTGATTGTTCTTTATTCTGATGACTTCTGATTGATGGTTATTGAGGTAAATTGTGATCGTTTTTTATCTGATGATTGCTGATTGGTGGTTATTGGGATGGTGATTGGTCTATATTCTGATTACTGCTGATTGATGGTTATTGGGATGAATGGTGATTGTTCTATATTCTGATGACTTCTGATTGGTAGTTATTGGGGTGAATGGTGATTACTCTTTATTCTGATGACTGCTGATTGATGGTTATTGGGATGAATGCTGAAGAAAATAATTGTCAATTCCTTTTATTTCTAAGCCCTGATTTTCTGGCCTCGTGATTAACGTGTCAGACTGAGGATCGAAAGGTATCGAGTTCAAGACATGGTGCTACCATAGATGCTTGCACTTTCAGATGTTGATGTTTGTATAAGAATAACAGTGTATTCGCTGTTTGTTTGAATATCCTTTTCAAGCTGCCTACCTTCTGATTCGCAGTTCACAATTAGAGGCAGTTATGACTGAACAATAATGGTTTCTGACCAACCTGACCATTTAGCTTTTTGTTTTTATAAGGTGTCAATCAGGTGAGCAAGCAAACAAACAAAACTTTTATGATTATTTTGTATATTCTTAGATTGGATGTTTAAACCCAAATTAAGGTTTATTGATCAGTACTTGAAAACACTCTACATTAGAGGATTACATTCCCAACAACCAACGGGCATCATGAAAACATCTTCTACAACTAGATCGCAGTAAAAAAAAACTTTCAACATTTCTAACATGCAAGAAATTATCTTTCTTTCTACGTCTTCAAGAAGACTATGGATTTCTTTTACCTTCTTTGTAATTCACTAACTATCATAATTCTTACAGCCATGTGTAACTACCAACAGGTGAACCTAGTATCTTCCTACGTCACGTGGTTCTTTCAGTTCCTAGTGGTGATATTAACTTTGCAATTTTGCACTGGACTTGTTTGTTTGAAATTAAGCACAAAGCTAAACAATGGACTATTTGTTCTCTATCCACTACGGCTATCGAAACCAGGTTTCTAGCGTTTTAAGTCCGCAGACATATCGCTGTGCCACTGGCGGGCTTTTCACTATAAATACTTAAACTCCTACATTTTTCACTGTTAAAACATGTTTTCTTAAGATCGTCGTATCTTATCACATTATTGTTGGAAGAGGATTAATTTTATAGCATTTTTGCTTCTGATTAAGAGAAATCCTCACGGTTAACAAATCACAAAACCGCTACCAACCCTTCAATTCCTCCTCACACGAGTACTGTAATTATGCAACTGATGTGTTTCGTCTACCATTTTTCTTGCTATTCACTTCTTCAGTTTTTATGTTGCAATATTCTCCCTTCTTCCACCATGAGTTTAATTCTCCTTTTTAAAATTTGTGTCACTAGTTCGTGAGTTGGAAAAGATGCTACATATACCTTAAGCTATTAGGACTAGATTCTAAATAATGGCACGTCTTTTAATTGTTTTTTTTAATCTATTATGACTTAACAAAAGACTGATAAAGGTCTTAAAACTACCCTCCTCCCCCAAAACAAACAAACAAACAAGGGATCTCAGTTACAGAACACTGTTAACCAAGATTTCACTTTGTTTTGTTTTTTAAATTAGGAACTTACCTCAATACATTTTTCAAGGTTGATGACTTTATTTTTTCTATTGAATTTTTTAATTGTACCTAGAACTCTTACTAGCTTTGTCTTGTTTCCAATGCTTAGAAGGTATCTTGGAGACTCCGGAAGTAACCTAGAACAAACAAGTAAAACAGTGTACAGGTTCAGTTCTCGCATGTAGTACCGAAAGTTACAGTTATTCTACTAGTGTAAAGGACCAGTTATCACGTGATCACACTGTGTAAATATTTGGTATTATATGAAAACACTATGTAAAGGCTCAGTCATCATGTGAAAAGCCTGTATAAAAACTCGGGTATAATGTGAAGCAGCGAAAGATTTAATTAAATAAATAGTGCAAAGGTCGAGATATAATTTTTACACACAGGGTCAAAGTATCAGCTAAAGGTACAGTGGGAATGTCCAGATATTATATGAGAGAAAGGTCCAGGTGATCACACTATTCTAAGGTTCAAGTACAATGTGAAGTACTGGCAAGTATAATTATGCAAAGATCAGAGTATGATTTGAGCAGATAAAGTGAAGATCCAAATATCATGTGAAAACACATTGTAAATATCTCAGGTATCATGTGCGAATAAATATAACAGTACAGGAATAAAATGTAGTACTATATATAGTCTCATTCAGTTAAATATTAAAAGTCACTCTGTTTCTTCTGATACTTATAAATAATTTAATTAATAAATCAAACTACAACAAACAAACAATCTTACTTCAACTTTATTAAACAACAACAAACAAACAATCTCACATCAACTTTATTAAACAACAACAAACAAACAATCTCACTTCAACTTTATTAAACAACAACAAACAAACAATCTCACATCAACTTTATTAAACGACAACAAACAAACAATCTCACATCAACTTTATTAAACAACAACAAACAATCTCACTTCAACTTTATTAAACAACATCAAACAAACAATCGCACTTCAAGTTTATTAAACAACAACAAACAAACAATCTCACTTCAACTTTATTAAACGACAACAAACAAACAATCTCACTTCAACTTTATTAAGCAACAACAAACAATCTCACTTCAACTTTATTAAACAACAACAAAGAAACAATCTCACTTCAACTTTATTAAACAACAACAAACAAACAATCTCATTTCAACTTTATTAAACAACAACAAACAATCTCACTTCAACTTTATTAAACAACAACAAACAAACAATCTCACTTCAAGTTTGTTAAACAAATACAAACAAACAATCTCACTTCCAAGTTTGTTAAACAACTACAAACAAACAATTTAACTTCAAATTTGTTAAGCAACAACAAAGAAACAATCGTACTTCAAGTTTATTAAACAACAACAAACAAACAATCTCACTTCAAGTTTGTTAAGCAACAACAAACAAACAATCTCACTTCAAGTTTGTTAAACAACATCAAACAAACAATTTCACACTTCAAGTTTGTTAAGCAACAACAAACAAACAATCTCACTTCAAGTTTGTTAGTGAGTTTAGTCGTTCGACACGATGGGTGCAAGATCTTTGTAAATTCATGTAGAAATGTAAATTACAGTGGTTTATCAGATGTGTGGATGAATTAGTTTTTAACAACTAAGTATAAAATTACCACATTCCAGTTGATTGGATGCATGAATATATCATTCGTTTCTAAAGAAAAGTCAGCTAATCCACTAGTGTTTGATAAATAGACCACAACTTCCTTTCAAAACTGTTAAAAGAAACAGTAGGAGTCGCTTTTCACACAATCTAGTACTTTAAAAAATGCTCCAACTAAGATTAGAATGATTTCCGTATATCATTTTATGATGAGTTTAGATAAGGCTGAAACCGCTTTTCAGCTCATTAAATGTTTCCACACAACAATTAAAAAGTTGAAAATATTAAGTTGTAGTACTTTATCATTAACGATGTTCTTGTTATTTGTTGTTAAGCACAAAGCTACACAACGGGTATCGAAACCCCCGTTTCTGGCGGTATAAATCCCCAGACATACCGCCGTGCCATTGGAGGGCATCATTAACGAAATAATAGCTATTAAACACTCACACGATTACCTTTAAGCTATAGATGGAAATTAGTCTAATTGAAAACTAGATCAATAACAGATACACTACTACGTCTACTGACAAGTCTTCTTTACTTATTTCTTTCGTAAAGTGGGAGTAAAGTACACATCGGATAATACCGTCTTATTATAAAGATTTGATATTAATAAATATAGTGTACGTCAGGCTAGTGTAATTTAATACAATACACAAGAAACAAGTTTTATCTGTAGATTTTCTAGACGTTCGCACGTATAAAAATATTTAACCTGAGGTGAAATGGAAATATTTGGTTACTGATGATAAGGCTTAAACTAGAAATGACTCTGCCTAGAAATATATATTACTCCATCATAAATAATTAAACTGTATCGTCCTTAGACTGTAACATTTCGCGAGCTTTTACTTTTTAACTCTAGGAGTACATCCAGTTTATCAAAAGATTGTCACAGAAATATATCTTTAATTTCTTCGAATACAAAATTAATAATTACACCTTTCTGTGAAAGAAGTCTCCCCATTATGTCCTAGACATCATAACTTTAATTAATAATTGGCCCGGCATGGCCAGGTGGTTAGGGCGCTCGACTCGCAATCTGAGGGTCGCGGGTTCGAATTCCCTTCCCACCAGACGTGGGGGCGTTACGGTCAATCCCACTATTCGCAGGTAAAAGAGTAGCCCAGGAGTTGGCGGTGGGTGGTAATGACTAGCCTTTCATTGCTAAATTAGGGACGGCTAGCGCAGATAGTCCTCGTATAGCTTTGCGCGAAATGCAAAACAAACAAACAATTAATTAATTAATTTTCTAGAGAGCAAAAACAACAGGAAAAGAAATAAACATACCAGAACTGAAGCATCAAAGTCACAATAAAAGGAACATTCATGCATATAGTCAGCATTCTCCAGTCTCTAATGGCGTAAGACAACAAACCGATTACAACGTGGCCAGAGGTATAGCACGTAATGAGTAGAAGGGAGGCTGTTGCCAAGTAACGCTGTCCGATAATTTCTTGTGCTTGAAAAAGTTAAGGAGATAAGCTTGATTCAATACTATACGTGATGCAACAAAACTGCAAAGATATTAAATAGGTAGATAGATAGGTGCAAAGTTGTTAGTGGTTTACCTAGAACAAAGAGTGAAGGGTATGCAACCGTTCCACAGAGACCAATAGTAAAACGACCTATTACCCAAACTGGAAAATTTGGAGCCATTGATGTTGTAATTGCAGCAATTAGTCTGACAAAAAGAGTCAAAAGACAAGTGGTTCTCCTTCCATATCTGTAATAGCAAAAAATAGAAATAATCACATTTATACACAAAATATGTTTGGTGGAAAACCATGCATAATTTTCTTAAATAATTTAAGTGAAATATGGTTAAGATATAAACAGAATTAATGAAAAGTTGCTTAGAAATTTATGCACATTCATTAATTACATTGCATAAAATAAGTTAGGTTAACTTATATTAATGTGCGTTAGATGGCGCTAAATGATATTAGACTTTTATAACACGCCTGTCGATGGACAGATCCTTTTTCCATTAGTTGTTAATCATAATATGAAGCTCAGTCCAGGTAATGATAACGAATTAATTTATTTCTTCAGTAAATGAACAATGTTTTTACAGGCTACGTTTACTTGTAGGCCTAACTTCAAATACAATAGTTCAACTAATGTTTAGCAGAACTTCCAAAAGTTAACATATTCTCAACTTACAAATAAACTTACTTACAGAATTTCAATGACAGACCCACCCACTCTAACTTAGTGACAAATGCAATAACTCACAAAGTCTAATTGAACTAAATTAGTCAAATTATTCACTGCTTTACTGATTGTCAAAATTACAGTTTTTAACATCTGTTGACTCCTCTGTTAAAAACTATAAGTACCAGGGCCCAAACTGTGAAGAGTCAACAGATGTTAGAAAACTGTAAGTATCAGGGCTCAAACTGTGAGGAGTCAACAGATGTTAAAAACTATAAGTACCAGGGCCCAAACTGTGAGGAGTCAACAGATTTTAACAGCTGTTGATTCCTAACAGTTTGGGCCCTGAGACTTACAGCTTTTAACAGCTGTTGATTCCTAACAGTTTGGGCCCTGAGACTTACAGCTTTTATCAGCTGTTGATTCCTAACAGTTTGGGCCCTGACACTTACAGCTTTTAACAGCTGTTGATTCCTAACAGTTTGGGCCCTGAGACTTACAGCTTTTAACAGCTGTTGACTCCTAACAGTTTGGGCCCTGAGACTTACAGCTTTTAA